TAAATGAGATTTAGCCACTTTTATCTTGGAAGCAGATCGAGTCTAAAAATTTGTAGACCACTGTTATTCACTCCATTAGAAAATGAATGTAGTAAAAGAGCACGTGTCCTTAATGGGTGGAGGAATTATTCTCAGCGACAAGTGATAGGGATATTGGTTGAAATCATCACTGACAGAAATTAATAGTAACTATCAATCTAAAATGGGGTTTTGCGAAGATTACCTTGCATTTGCAAACACTTGCAAACTCGTTAATCTTATCTTTATTTAGACGATATTCCAAAAATACAAATGAAAATAAGGGTACGATGAAGATTCGACAAAAGAGAGCAAAAAGAAAATGTTGCCAACGGCGCCTGCGCGTGAACCTCTCACGCTTGGCTTCGCGAGGATCGAACTCACGGCCGTCGGTCTCCGAGTCGGAGGCGGTACCTCTGAGCTACGGAGCCTTGCAAGGGATGCGCAAGAGGAAACTATCTGAATGTTTAACCGTCTTACTTTCTCGTTGCAAAGCATTGCGCTATGTAATTTCCTTTTTGTATTTCTTCTTTCGATAGGTTTGCTGTGATTGGTTTCATCTATTAATAACTGTTAAAAAAACGACATGCCGATATTTAATTTCTGATTTAGCTACATTGATTAACAGTTAGTTATAGTAGAATATGATACATTCTACTAAATTGTAATTGTCTCAGTCAAAACAGACACGAGCAAATGAGTAGACTAATAAAAAGTGCAAGCGCCTGAACACACCACACTCCTACGTCAACCATATGGCCGTTTTGTCGCTTAGGTATACAATGAAATGAGGCTCTCTGGGGTAAGTAGATTTGACAGCCCTGTCTTTAACATCAGTGCGTACTTAAATAGACCTTGCGGCAGGACCAGATCTTTTTCTTCCTCTTGCGACTCTCTCCCATTATTATCAGCCCAAAAATAATATTAATAATGAATGGTGATGGTGATGATTCAGATAAAAAAGATAAAGGATATTCATCACATTGATAGTAACTGATGATAATAATACTGATTGTGGTAATAATGCCAGTAACATAATGACGGAACTAGAAATGACGGTGATGATGATAATGATAATTACGGTTATAATCATAATTCTGATATAATTCTAATCATAATTTTGATATAATTCTAATCATAATTTTGATATAATTCTAATCATAATTTTGATATAA